CCTAGAAGTGGGATTACTGGGTCAAATGGGAGTTCCATTTTCAGTTTTTTGAGGAAACTCCACACTGTTCTCCACAGTGGTTGCACCAGTCTGCATTCCCACCAGCAGTGCACGAGGGTTCCTTTTTCTCCACAACCTCACCAACACTTGTTGTTTGTTGATTTGTTGATGTTGGCCATTCTGACAGGTGTGAGATGGTACCGCATTGTTGTTTTGATTTGCATCTCTCGGACAATTAGTGACTTTGAGCATGTTTTCATGTGCCTTTTGGCCTTCCTTCTATCTTCTTTTGTAAATATTCTATTTAGGTCCATTGCCTCAGGTGAGGATTTTTAAACAAAAAGTCAATTCTCTTTCAATTAATCTGTATATTTAAGACAATCCCAATTAGAATCCCAAAATGTGTTTGTTTGTTTGTTTGTTTGTTTCTCCTGGATACAGAAGAGCATGCCACCTTTCTTATTCTTCTTTGGGCATCCTTGCTTAATAGTTATCCCAGGTGAACTGTAGTCAGTCACCCATTCTCCAAGCCTTGAGTTTGGTGCCTTTTTTTTGATTCACACCAAGGTGCCACATAGACAAGGTAAGGCCTTGTAAAATACGTGGTTGGAGAGGTAGCCTAAATAAGAAAGAAAAGACAAAAACCATAAGGAAAGAATTCATGTATTTGACTACATCAAAATTTTACATTTCTATATGATAAAAAAAAATGGCAGAGACAAGATTAAAACACGAATAGCATTTGAGATGAGACAAAAAAAAATAGTACAAGATTGTACCTAAATATTTGTGGTTCTTTAAATCTGGCTGTAAGATATATTGTCTTTAAAAGGGAATATAGTGATGAGGGTACAGGATTAATAAAGCTTTTACCCTTCTGCATGGCAGTTGGACCTTCAATTAACTTTCTGTAACCCGTTCCTCTAAAACCTGATAAAATAGACTTGTCAACTATGTCGTTAGCCGACGTTACTTATATTAGAGCAATTACTTGATTGGTAAATTGCATTTGGTCTGGCAAAACTGTAATTACCTGATGGGAGAGCATAGCTTTGGGCTTTCCTGAGTGTGAAAACTCTTTAATTGGCCCTGGTGGGTCCCTGGAAGTTGTGTCTGTGGGATGGGTACAAGTAAGACTGGCTCCTGAGCATTATGAGTCTTCTAAGTCAGGGCAGCTGCCCCAGGAACCTGGCATAAGTCTTCTTTCCTTGCACCTGAGCTGTCACGTGGTGGCAGGCGGGTTAGGAGGGAGCAGCTGTGTGATCACTTTGTAGATTACTGAACGCACTCCCAGGCAGGGGCAACACCTAACGCTGCTGTGGCTCCCTCCAAATGAATCTGATGCTCAATGTGGCCCATGGTGGTCTTAGCGAATCTCGATGCTGAGTTGTACTTAAGAAAACCCCTGGTGGATGCTGCATGCGGTGATACAGTTTATTATATAGAAAAAGGCTGATGGGATAGAATCCTGTTGGATAATCAGTCTGAGTGTGAACTACATTGGTGAGGGATCGGATAGCTATCATGAGTTCATAATACCGTATGTTTCCCTGTTCCCTCTTGTGATAGTTGTGAATATGAGACCTCTGTGTCATGAGACTAGGAAGCCCAAATCTGTAATGTGATATCAGGCAGTGGAGCAGTCTCTTCACCTCACATGTTTCAAGCAAGTGACGAAGGACCTGTCTGAGTTTTAGGGGTGGAAGTTTTCCTTGACCCTAGATATGCCTTTAAATCTATTGAACCTGGCCTTTTTTTTTTTTTTTTTTTTTTTTTTTTTTTTTTTTTTAATTGAGAGAGAGAGAGAGAGAGAGAGAGAGAGAGAGAGAGAGAGAGAGAGAGAGAGAGGAGAGATTGATTGGTTGTTTCACTTTTTTATGCATTCATTGGCTGTTTCTTATATCTTGTATGTGCCCTGACCAAAGAGCAAACCTGAAACCGTGGTGTATTGGACGACACTCTAACCAACTGAACTACCCAGCCAGGGCTTTGAACCTGATTTTTAGTGGCCTGCATTCCCCCTTTTATAAGTAGATCCATATAGGGCTGCACAAGCCTAGTCCTTGGAGGTTTAGCATCCCTGCTACTCAATCTAGCCAGTCTTGTGGTAGACATCTTTAAAGTTGCAGAGAACATGTATCTGGGACAAAACTGACTGAAGAGTGACGGGGAGTCAGAACCTCCTGTTTTTGTCTCTTTTGTCTTGGAGAAGGAGGCCCCGCCCACTCCCCCACCTTCACAGCTTGTGAGCAAAACAGTGCTTCTCACTACTGGCGGACATTCAGGCCATTTCCTTTTTTCCTTCTTAAAATCCACTACAAACAGTGTTGCAATCGATATTGATGCACGTAGAAATCCATATAGATGCATTTATTTTGGACAAATTGTAGGGATCTCTGGGTCAAAGGATATGTGATGCGCACTATTCATTTCAATACTTATTTTCCCAAAAGCGTGTAGCAGTTGATGCTTCTGCTCCTTCCCCAAATCTTTGCCTGACCGGGATGTTAGCAATCTTTTTCATTTCTGCCAATCTGAGTGGGAAAATATCTTTTAACTGTTCTCTCCTTTGCTCCCCACCCTCCAAATCTATTCTCCACTCTGCAGATGGTGATCGGTTTAAAAAACAAACTTTACTCCATCATCTCCCTGCTCAAAATACACCACTTATTTTCTGTCATTCTTAGAATAAAGGCCAATATCTTTGACATAACAAAACAAACAAAAAAACAAACAAAAACAAAACAGAACAAAAAACTCCTTGTGATCTAATCGTCTACCTGCCTCTCAGGTGGGCTTTTCTCCCAGCAGGAAGGGCCTTCTCCAGGTCTGACTTTACTGAGAAATTAAGATGACATATTAGCCGAGACCGGTTTGGCTCAGTGGTAGAGCATCGGTCTGCAGACTGAAAGGTCCCGGGTTCGATTCCTGTCAAGGGCACACGGTGGAGGGTATGCAGGAGGCGGCTGGTCGACGATTCTCTCTCATCGATGTTTCTGGCTCTCTATCTCTCTCCCTTCCTCTCTGTAAAAAAATCAATAAAATATATATTTTTTAAAAATGACATATTAGTCCTAACTGGTTTGGCTCAGTGGATAGAGCTTCGGCCTGCTGAAAGGTCCCAAGTTCGATTCTGGTTAAGGGCAAATACTTTGGTTGCGGGCACATCCCCAGTAGGGAGTGTGCAGGAGGCAGCTGATCTGGAGGCAGTTTCTCTCTCATCGATATTTCTAACTCTCTATCCCTCTCTCTTCCTCTCTGTAAAAAATCAATAAAATATATATATATATTTTAAAAAGATGACATATTAGCTTGTTTGCTGAAAAAAAACCTCATAGGGAGTTAGGCTTTTCAAAAATGTGACTAACCTATGCCTGAAAGGAATAATTATTTCTCTATTATGTGCCTTGATGGAAGTGTTTTTCCAGTTGCTTGGGGCAGATCATTTAAAGTAAATAGGGAAACGAAGGACTTGTCAAAAAATAAATAAATAAAAAAATAAAAAAAAAAAAACATGTTAGGGCGACACCTTGGCTCCCAAGGCACAGGCAGAAAGTCTGAGGGTAAACGGAGGGGGTTTTTGCTTCTCTTGTTTTTAAGTTGGACTTTTAAAGCTGAACCTGCCTTTAATGTGCTGGTTTGCAGAACAGGAAACCTGATTTTTCGGTGCGATAACACATTCTTTGACATTAACCCGTACAGTTGGATTTTTAATGACACTTTCATCTTCAAAGCCCTTCGCCATCGCGGGTGGATTAATTATTCGTTGTTTTTCTTTTTTCTTTTTGGTTGTGTGTTAAAAAGTCTTCAAAGCCTTCATCCTTTCCTCCTCGGAATTGGGGCTCTTCACCTTTCAAATGTTGCTTTCCTGCCCCCAAGGGGGACAATAAATTGCCTCTCTCTTTCACTCTTTCTCTCTCTCTCTCTTTTTAAGACAAAGAGAATACAATAGAAATATACTCTTTACACTGTGGAAAGCTGATGTCCTTATATCCTGGGTGGGATTAGAAGAGGTCGGAAAGCAGTGTTTAAACCGTGTTTACAGTAAGCACTGTGAGATGTAACTCTGGCGAAGCGTGTTTGTTACCGCTCGGGCTTTTGATGTGCCTCCTGAGAAGTACCAGCTACACAGAGCGCCCTGCGCTCGCCAGCCTGGAGCCTCATATAATAGGTTAGTGTTGCTCAAGTATTATTTCCATGCCTGTCCCCTTCAAACAGCGTCTCATTGGGTCTCTTAAAGACTTGGTTTTGGAGAAGAAAACCCTCAAGCCTTCCCACCCTCCACGGGGTCCTCCTGGATTTGACACATTTTATAACCACCAGGGAGCAGTCTTCCTTTGGATGAGGTTTTCTCTCCACCTCCCCCCCAAAATGAAAGAGCAAGTGCAAGTTTGCAAACAGCCTGAAAGCCCTTTCCATTAGCCCTGGACGCCGCCGGAAACCACAAAGGGCAGCTCACGTTTTGATTTTCCAGGAGAGAGCCTCCGGTGGAGCCTCGCCCCGCCGCCAGGAGGCCTGTTTGGTTCCTGGGAGGAGCCCTCGCGAATCCTCGAGGATTCCCCGGCCCTTGAAGACCCAGCTCAGCGGATTACAGTAATTGCCAACCTCGGGAGGCTCCGGGAGATTTACTCTGTTTGCTGTGCGCTCACATTTCCAGGCTGGGCGAGCGAGCAGAGGAACCCCTTTTGTTATCTTTTTGAAAGAAGAAGATCAGAGAGGAAGACGAGGTTTGAAGTGTGGATTAGGGAGGGTCCTAAATCTCCGCCTGGCACCTCCGTCTGGAACTTTATAAAGAGGCTGAGGGGTGCCCTGGCTTGACGGGATCATGCAAAGTTTCCTTGGAACGGAGCTTGGGGACTCTGACGCTTCCCCTCAAACAGAGCTTCTGCGCCGGGCAGTCTGAATGGACCGTCCTCTCCGCTTTGAAGATCTGCAGCCTCATTTTCTGCCGAGACGTTGCCTTCTTGGTTGATCTGATCGCTGGCTTTTTGGGGCGAGTGATGGAGACGCGTACATCGGCCGGCCTGCTGACCTTGCCATACCCCCTCCACCCGGGACCCCTGAGCCTGCCCGAGGCCCTGCCCCGCCTCCCCCTGCGGGACCCCTTCAGGGTCTCCCTGCACCTGGACGCTGCCGCGTGCTGCGCCCCGAGGCGGCCCTACCTGCCCCTGCCGCTGGACGGCGCCCTCGAGCCCGCCTTCCTCCGCAGGCGCAACGAGCGCGAGCGGCAGCGGGTGCGCTGCGTGAACGAGGGCTACGCGCGCCTGCGGGACCACCTGCCCCGCGAGCTGGCGGGCAAGCGGCTGAGCAAGGTGGAGACGCTGCGCGCCGCCATCGGCTACATCCGGCACCTGCAGGGGCTGCTGGAGCGCCACCCGCGGGGCCAGGAGGGCGCGGCCGGCCCGCCGCGCAGGTCCGAGTGCAACAGCGACGGCGAGTCCAAGGCCTCGTCCGCGCCTTCGCCCTGCAGCGAGCCCGAGGAAGGGGGGTGCTAGCGAGCCCGGAGACCCCACGACTGGATCCCCGCCTGGACCCCCGCCTGGATCCCCGCCTGGATCCCTGCCCGGACCCCGCCTGGACCCCGGCGCCCGCCGCACCGCGCGCCTCTGCCGTCTGGTCTAGGGTTCTCTCCAAAGGTGGTTGCTTTTTTAAATCTGGTTTCTCCTCCAAGGAAAAAAAAATTAGAAAAAATAAATGAGTGCTTTCAAAGGGAAAAAAGATGTTCTGACATTCTGGTTGGATGCCCTCCTCCCCCTTTTATTGGCTTTGTGCCTCCAGCGTCAAGGTGTTTGCTTAAAGGAAGCTTCTGTGCCGGGTTCGGAGCACCTCCTTCTGCAAACCCAAAGGGCGTTTCCCTCCGTCGTTGGTGTGGGTCAATCGTGTACTTACACATTGCAATTGATGCAACCTGAACCAAAGAAGGACTTTCCAAAAGAAATAAATAAGGGACCGTTCTTAAGACGAGAGGGAGGCCTTCCTGTATTCCCTCCCTTAGGAATGACCTTGGCGGCGGTGCCTTGCTCAGGAAGGTGACTGGGAGCTGACAGCCGGGAGCGGTGGCCAGCGGCCTGCGGGCCAGTCTGTGCTGCTGCCTGAACAGGTGAACCGCAGCCTCAGAGAAGGCTACGTGTAGACCTGATACTTCCTGCTTCATAAAAAAAAAAAAAAAAAAAAAAGTGGCTATTTTGGGAACTCCATAGGATTCAGCAGATAACGGGTTAATGTCAATGATCTTTTTGGAAGAGAACTCAGATTTGTGTGAAAACTTCCTCCCAGCTGTTTATTTTTTTTTTCTTTGCATCGCTCTTGTCGTTCTTAGTCAACTGTTGGATAACTTGAAGGGACACGGTGACTTTTGTTTGTTTGTTTAAAGTAAATGCTTAGATGGCTGAACGGGATGGATTGGGGTGGGTCCATTCTCACACTTGCATCACCTTGAGCGCTCCCAATTGTCGAGTGACTCGGGCTTGTTCCTAGTCTCTTAAAAATACTTAATTCTGGTCTTTTTTTTTTTAATCTGAGAAACAATTATAAAACCATAGATAAGTTAAAAACAAACAAACAAACAAACAAAAACTACTGACATAAGATGAACTTCCTCTCTCAGTTCTTTTCTAATATGCTGAACTGCCCTTTCCGCATTTGTAGCTTTGGTATGGGGGTGGGGACCCGGGCTAGGAAATAAACAAGGAGAGGAAACTGACAAGAGTGACTTGTTTCACTTGATCCCCACACTGGCTTCATTAGGGAGGTTGAATTACCCCCCTCCAACCCCCCCAATTCTACAGATGTGTCAACTGAGGAAAGCTAGTGGCCAGTGAACATCTTTCACATGCCAGGAATTAGGCTGTGTGCTTTTTTTTTTACATTTGGTTGTATTTAATTTTCATACATCTCTGAGGTGGGTATTACTCCTATTTTGTGGTTTAAAAAAAGCAGCTCAAGGAGATTGCCTGCCTGGCCCAGACCAGTGTTGCTGCTATTAGTATAGCTGAGGTCCAGTCCTCCCTCTGTCTGACCCCAACGCCCAACGTGCAGTCTCCCTTATCATGCCTTCCCTTGCTCTCAGCTAATGTTACCTGGGCCGAGGAATGCCGAATCCATGTTAGAAAGTGTAATTACGAATATTTATAACGATGAGTATAAGGGCATTCTGTGGTTTTTGGCTGCACAGATAGATAAATGCCGTGCAATGATTCACGACCAAGCCTTCTTTTTTCCTAAGAACGGGGGTGGAGCTCTTGAGTTTGAATGAGCAGGATATAAGAGCCGTTTGCTCTAATCTCACAAACACCTATGTTAGCCTGCAGGCAGGTTGTTATTCTACACTAGAGGCCCGGTGCACAAAATTCATGCACCAAACAGGGGTTGTGTCCCTCAGCTTGGCCTGCGCCCTTTTGCAGTCCAGGACCCCTTGGGGGATGTCTGCCTCCCATGAGCCCAGCTTCTGGCTGAGTAGGGGGAGTGGGGGCAGGGTGGGGTAGAAGGTGAGCGTCATTTAACCAGAAGCTAGCTTGCTGGTCCTTAGGAGCTGGCCCTGCCACCACCACCCCAACCCCCCCTGGCTACTCCCCTTTCTCCCCACCCTCCCGCCCACTGGTCAGTTCAGGAAGGTCACTCTTGCTTCAGCCCTCACAACCCCCCGCGGCGTCAGGACATTTGACTGTTCAGTCTAATTAGCATATTAGCTCTTTATTATATAGGATGGGGGCTTCAGGGAAGCAAGCCTAACTGAGATATATTTACTAATTAGGAAAAAAGAAAAGGGAAAACATTCATGCTGCCTTCCTAGGTGAGTTGGGGGAAATGCTAATTAACCAAGTTGTTTAAAACCTTGAGAGACTTTTTTTTAGGAGTCTTTGTGGGGCAGTAATCACAATGTCCATTCCTTTATTCTACTCTCTTTTCCAAAGTAGGAATAATAACCTGATCAGGTAGCTCAGTTGGTTAGAGCATTGTCCTGATATGCCAAGTTTGAAGGTTTGATCCCCAGGCAGGGTGAAGACAAGAATCAACCAATGAATGCATAAATAAGTGGAACAACAAATCAATGCTTTTCTCTCTCTCTTTCTCAAATCAATAAATAAAAAAATTAAAAGTAGGAATAATAATGAAAAGAGTATATTTTGTTTCATCTACATAGACTATGTGATTGTTTTTTAACTGCAGGGAAAAAAGAAATACTTTTTCTTTACTTTGTTAAAATAGTTGTATAAAGTCTTTGAATAAATATCCTTTGCTGAGATAAATGACTTAAAAAGAGAAGGAAGGTCAGTTTTAAAAGAGAACTTTATTTTGGATAAAATGCCTTGAGAGACTTTCAATGTGGTTTTGTTTGCTGAGACTAAGGCAATAATTTTGAGAAATCTTTAAAAAAAAAAATAATAAAATCCCAGCTCAATTATATACCTATTTTTAGGGAAAAAACAAAATCAGGCAGTTTTTCTGGAACCTTCCTGATGGCTTCCAGGAGGAGCACAATTCCAGGAATGAGACCTTTTATAATGTCCAATCTTCCCTTTTCCTGTGAATGAATGCCTCATTAACCCTAAACCATTTGATTTTCAAAAGGAAGAAAATGGGTTCTAGGTACTTTCTCCACAGTATCCTTGGCACAATCATTTTTGCTGCAAGCATTTTCGCCCACACCACTAGTTGACAATAAGGCAATCCTGCTGCATAAAAGATAAAGTAACTGGTTGACCGTTTGGGTTGTTGTTTCTTTGGTTTCATTTCCGCATTGTCAAACCAACTGTGTTCAGTGGACTTAATGTACTTAAGCTAGCTGTTAGTTTGGTTTCATTTCTTCATTGACAAATTTTCACAGTTACTCCCATTTTTATATTACATATAAATATTGTCCTTGCTAGTGTGCTCAGTGGGTAGAGCATCTGCTCACCCACCGAAGGGTCTTGGGATTGATTCCCAGTCAAGGGCTCTGATTGTGGTGAGTGCAGAAAGCAACCAGAGGATGAAGATGTGTCTCTCTCACATTGATGTTTCTCTCTCTCTCTCTCTCTCTCCCCCTCTCTCCCTCTCTCTCTCTCTCTCTGAAAAGTAATGGAGAGGATGAACTAGTGAGGATGAACAAAAAACAAACAGATCTTACCTAGGCCTCATAATGGCCTAGATGGTAATAAGCAGATAGGGTGGTGGTGATGGTCTTAAAATAGATGAAGATGATTTGCCCCAATAGTTGGTTGTTTCTTCTTCTTCTTCTCCTTCTCCTTCTCCTCCTCCTCCTCCTCCTCCTCCTTCTCCTCCTCCTCCTCCTCCTCCTCCTCCTCCTCCTCCTCCTCCTCCTCCTCCTCCTCCTCTTCCTCCTTCTTCTCCTCCTTCTCCTCCTTCTTCTCCTTCTCCTTCTTCCTCCTCCTCCTCCTCCTTTTTTTTCTCCTCCTCTTTCTCTCTCTCCCCCCCTCCTCCCCCTTCTCCTCCTCCCCCCCCCCCCTTCTTCTTCCTTCTTCTCTTCTGTCTCCTCCTCCTTCTTTTGGCTTCTTATTTTGAAACCCATGATATTGGGAGGAGAGACACTGAGGGCCTGCTCTGAAGCTGCAGAATTGAACTCACATTTCCCACAGAACAAAGACAAGTGCTTAGATACAATCCACAAAGTAAAATCAGTTATCTGCACAGTATTACCATGAATCTACACACATTTTTAATGTATTCAAATATTTTGTATTTCTCAATAAACTTTAAAAAAATGTTATGTTCTTGTTAAGATTTCTCTTTTATTTTCCATGATTTTATCCTTTTTATGGCAAAATTGCCTTAGGTGGTGAAAGTATTAGCAGTGAAAATACAGTGAAATGTGGCATATATCTACGGCAAAGATGCTACACTGAAAATACTGGACATGCACAAAATCAGTTGCCAGCAAGCTATGTAGAAGCCGTAGAGGGGAGTTTTAGGGCGATGATGCATTCATGAAAGGAGAAACATTTATATGACCTTCAGGGTCTTCCCTGTTTTTTTTGGCCACTCAGTCCAGACATATCCAATGACTATAAATTGTTTTTTACAGTATTCCCTGTGGTTCATAAACCTAACAATTGTGACACCCCACTCCCACCCAAGTGTGCTAAGAATGAGAGGCAGTATTGGGGTGTGGCAGTGTTGGGGTGTGGCCATGTGTTGGGGTGTGGCCTGGCCTAGGGTTTGGTCCTACTCTGCCACTCACTGACCTGATGACCTGAGATGAGTCCCTAACTTCTGTGCTCTCGGTTCCCTGGGCTAGGACACACGAATAGTAGATTGCATCATATTTTAGGCCTTCCAGCTAGAAAATGTCCTTCATCTGACATGCGCGGAGTCCTTCCCCGGGGGCGACAAATGCCCACATACCTGCCTCCTGCACACGGGACAGCAGCAGCCTCTCTCCCACTAGAAAGATCCAGTCCCAGAGCTGCAGCTTCTTCTTTCGGAGTTCTAGTTGCTGTTATAATGCTTTTTTATTTTTTCTTTCAAAAACAAGCTGCATAATTTTTGTCAAATA